GTTCTACTCCGGGGCTCATCGCCAGTATGCACCCTCTCGGTTTCGAATCCAGGACCTTCCAGTTATAACGCAAGATTTTATACCATTCATCCACTGGGACCTGACTCCTAAATGGCCAGCCTATGAATTCTGACTTCCACCAATTCGTGATGCATTTAGCTCGACCACAAACCAATGTCATCGGTGGGAACTTCATCCTCACTCCTGACTAGATGGACCTCACTGGTCACGACTTCTCATCAGAACTCCAGGACACTCCGTGCTGTAGCAAGTCACAAGCTGGCATTAGATTAATTTTCAGTAGTTGGTTTGTAAGGATTTGATGTTGGCGCTAAAATCACGAATTGGTAGAAATTAGAATCCATGGGCTGGCCATTGAATCGGATCCCAGTGGCTGAATGGTCTGTGAGTTTGTCTTGCAACTGGAAGCTCCTGGGTTGGAATCCCAGTGGTTGCTTATTGCCGATGAGTCCCGGAGTAGAAGGAAACAGCTGTTCAGTACTCCCTGTGGCTGGTTTTAAATGGTTCTCTAACTGATATCAATCCGTGGTCAAACTGGAAAATCTAAATTTAAATTATCTAATCCATCTATGTTTTAGATCATAGGAATATATCAGTCTAGATTTTTAGTGGCTTTTGAGTGAATTTAATACTATAGCTTCATTTTGTGTATAAGGTCCTCTGTGGCTTTCTTAGCCTTATTCATATTCTTCATATGGTCCTGTTTGTATGTGAGTACTAACCTTCTCCAGAATAGTCTGATTTGTCCAGTACACAACTGTTCTCTCTGGCGATGCTTGGCTGTAAAGGGGATGCCAAGAAAATACATTGCACTGATTAAGGCACTCTACTCGTACTCATGCAGCCAGGTGAGGGCTTATGGCGAGTTGTCATCTGAAGTGGTGACGACTAGTGGCGTCCGTCAAGGATGCCCATTATCCCCATTCCTATTCAATTTCATCATAGATGTACTAATGGACTTAACCCTAACTCACTTCAGCGACTCAGGGATTGACTTGCTATCAGGGAAGAATCTCGTTGACTTAGAATATGCAGACGATATAGTCCTTCTAGGCGAGGACTCTGACAAAATGCAGAGTCTACTGAACACCCTGAGCAACAATCTCCGCATGTTTGGCATGCGATTCGCCCCTATAAAATGTAAGATGATGCTGCAGGATTGGACTTCATCGACCCCTAGATTAGAAATAGGAAGTGAAGTGGTAGAACACGTTGACCGCTTCAATTACTTGGGAAGTACCATCAGCCAGTGCCAACGGGTTGATCTCAGACGAAATTTCAGCACGAATACAGAGGGCTAGGTTCGCATTCGCCAGTTTTCGCCGTCTCTGGCGTAGACGCGATATCCAACTATCGACCAAAGGGCGTGTGTACTGCTCAACAGTCCGCTCCGTCCTCCTTTATGGCTGTGAGACCTGGCCATTGAGAGCAGGAGACATGAAAAGATTAGCTGTCTTCGATCATAGGTGTCTGCGTTCTATCTCCCGCGTGAAGTGGTATAATAAGGTGAGCAATATTGAGGTTAGGCGTCGAGTGCTAGGTAAGGCGGGGAAATCAATAGACGAGACTGTGAAATTACTTCGACTGAGATGGTTAGGACATGTGCTACGTATGCCTAGTCATCGCCTTCCTCGACAATGGGCAATGTTAGCTGATATAGGGTCAGGCTGGAAAAGAGCTAGCGGCGGTCAAACCAAAACATGGCACCAATCAATGAAATCCACAACAGTTAATCTAAGCCACGTAGGAAGATGTAGACGTCCTGGTTGGGGCCCTCGGGATGGTAAAAACCAATGGTTGGAAACAATTGGTGAGATGGCTCAAAATCGTTCTCAGTGGCGCAGATGCATCCACTCCTTGTGACTTATGATTTCCAATTAAACTTTTGTTCTCCGTTATTACTATTCCTTTGTCTCACACCTCTGTTTACTGTCTATATTATGCACTTCTTCTACTTCCTTCTCTTGCTTTGCGTGCTACATGGAGTGTGGCGACTTGAACTGCCGCACATATGTGCAAAGTTCTATGTCGAAAACCGACCGACCGACCGACACAACTGTTGCATTTCCTTTGTCTTATTTATTGATTAGTATTTTCAAAAGAATGGATACTGAACAAAGAATACTCTTTTCGATAACCTGTTCTTCATCAGGCTGTACAGTTACATATACACATTATAGTGAATGAATGAATTAGTGTTATGAACAACATTAATGCTGTTTAAATAACATCGAATCAATAATAACAATATCAATGGATTACAGTTCAATAGCATCAACATAACAATAAACTGAATATCAGAAAAATTAGGAAAGATAATAATACAAATCCATGAATTTATAGTCTCTACTGAAGTCTGGACAGGGCAGTAGTAGTGGCTGGCTAGACTTGCTTCTTTTGAACACAAAGCACTGGTTTTTTGAGGCGAATTGCAATAGCCTCAGCTGTTTGGAGCATGGGGTGCTTCGATGATTTTGGCAATTTATTTGGCACCTGGTAGATGATAGAGAAGGATTCTTCCACCCTGGCTGGCTTTGTGGCCGGTTTGCACCAGATGGTCCAATGTCGAGCTGTTAATGGTTTTGACAACACCTTTGCTTAGCCATTGTGGGTTTCTTTTTCTGGTTCTGTTAAGTTAGGCTTTCCACTTTCTTTTTTGTCGTTTTATTGCCAATGTACTGCACATTGTGCGGTTGTTTTATCTACCCCATTTATAGTGCAATTTCTGTTTTAGGCATGATATCCCACACTGAAATTTATTCCCTTTTCTAATACACTTTTTCCCTGCGGGACTTAACACTTCTTAGAACAATGACACCAGGAATGGAATGTGTCGATCATTCAGTGTTGGTAGAATGCTCACTAGGTGTGAGGCGAGTCCGGGGTTCTATTCGCAACCAACATACTCCTATATACCTTGTCTAGTTGGTAATAATTCCTCAAGAAGAAGGGAAGGCTAAGCATAGGACTGGTTACCCCACTTGCTAAAATTCCCAAGTATTGCTACTGAAAATTCAAAGCTTGAAGCCTTATTGTTCTACTCAGAACGCCAGGGTGGTGACGAGGCTCAACAAACTACAGAACTCCCCAACTTATTGGAATGCAGAGAAATCAAGCTTATGACAATATAATCACAGTAAGTAGTCAATATATATTATTCAAAGAAGAGCCAAAATGTGGAAGACCAGTAAAGTATACTATCTGTCTGGTCACATTATTAGTCAGTGAGAGGAAGGTAACTTTAACGAATTGAAGGTCCTTAGCTTTTACCGTCGTCTACAACTGAAGGATTTAAGAGATAATGTATAAGTAGGTCGTGCCCCAACGGGTTGATACCTGGCGAAATTTCAGCACGGATACAGAAGGCTCGTTTGGCATATGCCCGCCAACTTACGCCATCTTTGGGTTAGTAGACGTGACATCCAGGTATCGACCAAAAGCCGTGTCTACTACTCTGTACCAGTTCGCTCCGTCCTCCTTTATCACTGTGAGTGAGATATGGCGCCCATCGGAAGTGGAAGACATGAAACGCCTAGCCAGCTGTATTTCATCGTAGTTGTCTGCGTTGAGTACTAGGTAAGGAGGGAGAAATCAATCAATGAGCTTGTGAATTTACACCATCACCTTCCTCGACGGGCGACGTTATCTGACAACCAATCAGAATGGAAAAGAGCTAGTGGTGGTAAAACGAAAACATGGTTTCATCAGTCTATGAAACCCATAACAATTAGTTTAAGTCAGCCACTCACGTAGGGAGATATAGACTTCCTAACTGGTTAGGGTCCTCGGGACTGTAAAAACCAATGAAGGCTGGAGACAGTTGGTGATATGGCTTAAGCTCATCGCTCTAAATGGCTGGTACAGGTGCATTTACTCTTTGAGGTTTATAATATCCAATAAAATTCTATTATTATTCCTTATTACTTACCATTCTTTTCGGCTCATACTTTTGTTGATTATCTCTCTTTTGAATCTCTGTTTACTGTCTTCTCTTGCTTTGTGTGCTATATGTAGGGAGAGTGTCAACTGGAACTGCTGCACATCTGTGCAAAGTTCTATGTTGAAACCAGTCAGTCAGTCAAGTAGGTAGTGCTTGATTTGAACACCAAATCTGTTAGATTTCATGGTCTGGCCACTGAATTCCGTACTGTTGTCTGGATTGGTTAGCGAACTCGCCCTCTAACCTGAAGGACTGCCTAGGTATAGCATAGAACTTTGCATAAAAGTGCAGCATGTCAAGTTGACACAGTCCATGTACCCTACAAGGGAAGACAAAATATACAAAAAGAGTTCCGAAGAACGATTATAAGCAGAAATATGAGGAAGAAGGAATAATAACATAGAAAAACCATAGGGATATTTCAAAAAATGGGTAATTCAGCGCTATTGTCGCCAGTTATCTCCACTTTGTTGGTTCTCAGCATCCCTATGATCCCGACGAGGCAGTCTATACCTCCATGAAACGTGGTTGACTCAAACCAGCTGTCAAAGGTTTCACGGACTGACTAACGGCAAGTTTTGGTTTGACCACCACTGGCTGTTTTCCAACCTGATCATATATCAGCTAACATTAACCTTCGGAAAAGGCGATGGCCAGTTATACGTAACACATGTCCTAGTCATCTCAATCGATTCACTTTCACAACACCATCGATTGACTTTCTCTCCTTACCTTTCACTTGAGCCCTAGCCTCCCGATTATAACACCTAACTTGGGAGATTGAACACAACCTGAAGGTCCTGAGGTCGATCCTGTGTGATGGGGTTATCAGAGCAGACTGTTGAAGAGTCCCAAACAAGGGTCGAACAATTGTGCAGTACTTCCTGAGGTTTTTTCGATGATCAAACTCTAAACTAATTAAACTCCCACAAGCTAACACCTGAAAATACCAACTATTAAAATGTTAAGTTTTCTTTTCATTGGAAACTTTTCTTTGGAAAATTTACTTTATCATCTGTTTTTTTCTCTTATTTTTCAGTTTCTTCTCCTGTTTATTGTATGGTTTAAGCTGTGAGAAATCAACTACACCGTATCAATTCCCTAAATTGGAACATCTCAATCTAAGAGGCAATCGATTTCGTGAATTCTCCTGTGTCAATTCATCTATTATTACCCCGAATGAATCGAAGGTATGCTTGAACACGAGAATTTCCATAAATATATGTATATAATTTTATATCGGCTTCTGATCTCATGTATTAGAGGATGCACTGGATGCAGAACTCCACCCACCGGAAGCAAGCTAGATTCAGGAAAAGCAAATCATCTTTAATATATTTGTGCGTTGAAGTTTCTGTAGCAATTTGGTTAAGTTTTGCGGGTGGAATTGCTAGCACCACGCCCCAACCCTCCCTCTTTATCCGGGCTTGGAACCGGCTAGAAAACTAGCGAGCTAGAAATCTTGGCGAGGTTAGCTGATGCATGGCAAATCCTGATTAATAAATAAAAATGGATATGTATCACTAATTATTAATACTTGGTCAAAATTCCCGATTGTCTATATTTTCTTATGGAGACGTTAACAGATGTTTTACAACTGTTTACCCCCCTCCACACACACATACACACTCTGTTTAAAGTGTTTAACAAAAATAGACCAATATAATAAAGGTTTTTGTATTTCCCAATGAATGAAAAACAAAACGATATTGTTTTTACTGACGTTTCGCTATTTAATGCTCTTTGTTATATGTATGTTGAGATTTTGTAAATTCCGGTTTAATAATACTTTGATAAAGCTATTGGCGTTAAATAGCGAAATGTCAGTAAAAAAAATATCGTTTTGTTTTTCATTCATTGGGAAATACAAAATCTTTATTATAATGTAGGGTAGATCAATATTTGTAAGTCCATGGTCAAATTTTGATCACAGCTCATAGAATTTTGTTTATTATACTTGTTGATACTTGTTTCATGACTCATATGATTGGACAAAGTTTTTAGAAACGAGAGATGTCCCCCTTTATATACATAATCCTCTGTTATGTTAATTTCGATTAATTTCCCTGAAGAAGTTCGGACCAGTTTGCCGAAAGTAGGAAACGTTGGAATTACTCATTTCAATCTCGCTGAGATTTTACAAATATAATTCTTTTTATAAATAATCATAATAATATTGGTTTTATTCCAAACAGTAATTTTGATACAAATGTAGAATTGTCAGCATGTAATACAATATTGCGACTAATTTTCTGTTTACGTTACATAGTATGTAGAGGAGGGTGGGGTGTGTGAAATGGTTAAGAGGGCGTTTGCATTGATAATATTTATCAATAAAATTATATGGAAATAAAGGGTTATTTATTTAGTGTGTTTCACAGTAATTTGTTAGTAGTAGTATCATGCCTTACACTTTTCTCATCACATAAAATGTGTGCCCGCTAAATGAGGTGTCGTGGGGGTTGGTGGGGGTGATTTATACTTAGTTATCCGAGCATAAAGCTTCCTATAGTTAATTCTAGTCCTGCCTAAAGAGACTGAAGTGGAAAGACATGAACAGAGTGAGATAGATAATTGTGTTTATAGGGGATGTTTCGAGTTTTGTTAGGATTAAATATGTTTTTATGATTTTAACCACGGATTGATATTAGTTAGAGAAGCATTGGACAGCTGATTCGTCCTACTCCGGGACTCATCGACAGCATACACCCACCGCCAGAATTCTAACCCAAAAGACCTTCCGGTTACAAGGCAAGCTCGTAGACGAACATTCAGCCACTGGGACCCAACTCCTCAATGGCCAGTCCATGAATTCTAAGTTGTACCAATTCGTGATTTAGTGCGACCACCAACCAATGTCATCAGTGAGAAGTCGTGACCAGTGAGGTCCAAACAGTCAAGTGTGAGGATGGATTTCGCACTGATGATATTGGTTGGTGGTCACACTAAATCACAAATTGGTCGAAGTTAGAATTCATGGACTGGCCATTGAGGAGTCTACGAGCTTGTCTTTTAACCGGATGGTCCTAAGTTCGAACTCTGGAGGCGGTTGTATGATGCCGATGAGTCCCGGAGTGGGACAAAACAGCTGTCCAGTATTCCCTGTGGCTGGTTGTAAATGGTTCTCTAACTGATATCAATCCGTGGGCAAACTCGTGAAGAGAAAAAAAATTCACCAGTTTCTTGCATGAATTCATATCGTCTATCTAAAACAGTACTAATAAGTTGGTCTGGTAGCACTCCACTCACTCTACTGACACCTTTTAGTATCCTTCACAGGAAAGATTAAAGGGCAGCAATGAAGGAGAAGAACAATAGGAAGAATAAAAGAATTAAAAAAGCTTAAAAGTAGGGACTGACTTAGTGATACCAGATAGTCGTAATTTACTCACTTAGGAGGTAAGGGAAAATATCTCTCCAGATCTTAACATGATTAGAGGAGGGTAGATCAAGAAATATCAGATCGAAGAGAGAAAAAAACTGTTTTGATGAGAAAATCACTTTCCGTTCTTTTATAAAAGTTTCAATTTCGCTGTTTTCCCCTTCCTTTATTTCTCTTCCAGATGTTCAATAATCAAAATATTAGTGTACGTTCTGAGTTCTTCTTCTTCTTCAGAAGGATTATCATCGTCAATGTTACTACTACTACTACCAGTGCCAACATCAGAATTTATGCCTGCATCTGGTCATGAAAAGTACATACTGTTTCCAAAATTAAAATCATTAGATTTAAGTGAAAATGCCAATTTACAATCTGTTCATTCTGAACTAGTTCGCTTAATTAATTTACAGTATCTTTCACTGGATAAATGTGTCAGTCTGAAAGAGGTAAGTTGTTCATTTGATAAGGACGAGGGGGGGTGGGTTGATTTTGTTTCAAATTTGTGTTTCCGTGGGTTAGTATAGTTACTTTGATTCTTTGGGTACCTGGAACAGAGAGAGGGAAAGCCCAGGGGACAACTGCTTGAGGTCGGTCACACACGGCCTATATGAACTGGTTTCTTGGATTGGTGCCGTATTAGTAAACTTACCGCCGGTTACAGACTATCGTAGGTGGGTAAAACTTGGGCACTGTGGTGGTAAGCAATTCCATATTAGTTTGTTTATTAGATGTATCACACACAGTGAGTGAAGCAGTATCATTTACTGGATGACACAGTTTCCAACAAAATTTATTTATTGTTCATAATCATATCAATTGTATTCACACGACTTTGAGACTTGAAACTTAATAATTACCCGGATAAACTAGTCAGGAAATATGTAAGGAAATGTAAAAATAAAATAAATAATGATAGTAGCGATAGTGATAATAACGATGTGCGTCGGTGGCACACTGGTTAGGACTCTCGCCAACCATGCACATGGTCCGGGGTTCGATCCCCTGCCGACGCACACCCGATATCTACGGTCGGCCTGTAAATTTGGGCTACCGATATCCAAGCTGAAAATTCCATACTTGTACTGAAAATACGGTGTGGAATGAAGCTGTAATCAAAAATAAAAAAAATAAAATAAAAATGAATAATGATAATAATAATAGTGATAATAGTAATAACATTAATGACGACACCAACAATAAGGAATCTAAATCATCAGTAGTAATTTCATACAAGGAAGGAACCTCGGAACCCTGACACAGAATTTTTAACAAGGCAGGAATAAAAATGGCTGGCATTCAAACCAACCACAAACTCAATTAGAAACAAGCTTTGTCGGTTAAAGGATCAATCCTGTGGAGCCTTTAATACAAAACAATTTCGTTTATCTAATACCCAGTCTGCGATGATTGTCAGGTAAAATACATAGGTCAAACTAGTAGAACAGGGGCAGTCAGACTAGCTGAACATAAAAACCTAGCAGCAAAATCTAGATTGGTTAACCCGAATAAGATAAGGAATCTAGAGAATAGTTCAGCTATGGCACTCACTACATGCAGTTACACACAGCCATACAATAGGCTGGATGGGATAGGATAACAGATTTAAAATCTAATGTCACAGGATGAATGGAGGGAGAGATTGATAACGGAAGCTTTGTTTATGGAATCAACTGCAAATACATGTAATAGGAATGATTCAACACCTGTCCACCTGGATATCTGGAAAATTCTACTACCCCAACGATGACAAATAAGAGAACAAAGAAAACTATAAAACTCAAGTCTGAAAGTCGTGTGATTACAATTGATGTGATTATGAACAATAACTTTTGTTCGAAACAGTGTCAGCCAGTAAATAATGCTGTTTCACTCACTGTGTATGATACATCTGATAAACAAACTAATATGGAATTACCGTAGGTGGGTTAAGTCGGGATGTACAATTTTCGGGGTCGTCCTTTTCTAACTCCCTGCCTCTTTTCAGAGTGGAGGGACAGCATAGCTGGCTGGTGTGCTGGTTATCCGAGGGAAACATCCTACTGCTGTTACATCCCTATCCCCCAGCAATACGACTTTGCCCACAGAACCCCAGCATAATGTTTAAAAAATCTTACACTATGCCGGTAATTGCTTTTGGCGTATTCGCTATCTTAACAACCTTCCTGGAATGGTAGGACCTGAAGGAACATTAGTTCCTGCCAGTGCAGCTTGTTGGATCATTGTGATATACTTACTTTACTTTACTTCGGCTATCTCCTACGGGAGGATGAGCCGGCTTCATGAACATCTCGAATCATCGCTGCCTAGGAGCGGCGATCTGACGCAACGTTTTGCGACAGGGTTATCCAATTAAGAGAGTTCATGAAGTTTCATGGGAATTTGGTACGAGTGATGTCCCCAGAATCGCTCGGCCTTTTGTTTGAGAGTGCAGCTCTAGCCTTTACACAACCAAGGGTGACCTACAAGGCAGTAGGAGTGGAGTAGGGAGTCCACTATCCATTGGCAGCCGGTGACCGGAGTTCGGTTCACACGCCTTTTTGAATGGGGCTAGACATCCAGGACATCCAACAAGCCCTTTGTACATACGTCTACCGGTGAGCTCCAGTGAGCTTCATACGCCAGTCATTGGAGGTTTGGAATCAGGGTTTAGCCATCTCCCCTAGACTGTCATCCAATGGACAGTCAACCCGGTGAAGAGCGCCTGGCATCCGCTTTCGCCCTCTCACTTTGGTGAAAAACACCGCCACGTGAAGACAGTGAGTAGGAATTCCTCAGGAGAGGCTATGTAAGACGCCTGGTCATATGGGAGCATTTCGAGAGGTGTGCGGAAGGGTGGCCAACCCGCAGCGCAAGGCACCCACTCCCGACCATCCTGAGGCTTTGGAGGCTTTGTGATATGCAAGCCCGACCATCACGTCAAGGTAGCGGCTTTACATTTGTGCATATATATATATTGTAAAGCGGTGAATCGCTAATATCTCAGTTGCCAGCCTACTAGTGACACTTTCGTATAAGAAACTTGAAACACAAGCTGTCTCACTGGGTCGCTTCAGTATACATATAGCAGTTCACTTTCTCTTGTAGAGTTGGTTACACTGGTGTTAACCATGCATCCGCTTGTCAAATGGTTTGGAGAACAATATGCAACCTGTATATAGCAGCAAAGGGAGAATGTAGCTGTGTTTTTAGCGTGGTAATAAAACATGTAGTGAACTCAAGACATTCAGCTTCATTTAAAAAGTCCTTCAAAGTCCTATACAAGATCTTATCAAGGCGTCTGGACACAGCTGAAGCACTAGCGTTCCAAAAATTCAAGTTAACACTGTTTGTAAACGTATTAATTTCACCCTCGACAGGAAAGAGTTGTAGAACTTTCTCACCGGTTTGCTATATATATATATATATATATATATATATATATATATATATACGAGTGAATGTGCATCTTAGTTGATGATGTCGTCGTAAAAAGAAAATTTTCCTCGCTTCAGGCGTCCTTTTTAATTTTCCGTATGATCCAATGTGTATGTCCCATTAATTTTCACTTCTGTTAATTTGTGATTGTTTTAGCGCTACCAACAGCCATCAGTCATCGATGAATGTTTGTTATTGATAAGAACATTTTAGAAAGACACCCGCCTGACCGAGGTTTTTTGTGCTTGTTAGCACTCACCAATTGTTGTTAGTCAGGAAGGTTAATCTGCAATCTTGAAGGAATTCATGTCCTCCCATCACCCGGTGTGTGCTGCAGTCAGCGACGTTACACCACTGAGCTATTCAGGCTCGCGATAATAGCAACAATTTAAAGTGTACTGTGATGCTAGCAATCTACCGCCACCTATCGAACTTAACTTACTGATAGAATTCAGTCTGCAGTAAATAAAGGACTAGCCAGACTCTTGACACTGCTGACTTTATTATTATTATTATTATTATTTCCTTTAATTCCTAGAGGAACATAGGGCTTCAGCCATGCGTCTCCATTGCGTTCAGTTCTCTGCTGTAGTTTTCACCTGGCTCCAAGTCTGCCCACACGCTTTCAATTCCTCTTCACATGATCTCCTCCAGGTCACCCTTGGACGACCAACTTGTCGCTTCCCTTTCGGGTTCCACTCGAGGGCTTGTCTAGTGATGTCACTTGCTGGTTTCCTCAGAGTGTGTCCAATCCATCTCCATTTCTTCCTGCCTATTTGTTTCACGATCGGTTCCTGGTTGGTTCGCTCCCAGAGATCTTTGTTGCTGATCCTCCCCGGCCATTTGATCTTGAGTATTGAGCGAAGGCATTTGTTAATGAAGGTCTGTAGCTTGTTTGAGCTGCTCTTTGTGACACGCCAAGTCTCTGATCCGTATAGTAGTACTGACTTCACATTGGAGTTGAAAATACGGATCTTATTTTTGACGCTGAATGCTGTTGACCTCCACATAGACTTGAGAGAAATGAAAACTTGTCTTGCTTTTCCGATTCTGGCTTTGATATCCTCGTCAGTTCCTCCTGTAGTTGAGACGATTTTTCCCAGGTAGGTGAAAGAAGTTGTTTCCTTCAGGGGGGGGGGACTTACTGACTAGTATTTAATCAAAGATAGTGATATTTTCGTGCGTGTTTATCTGCGTATATGCAGTTTAATTCCTTATAGATAAGATTTCATTTTGATAAAGTCACACAGTGTTGTTATACAGTAATATTAACTGATGACCACGTTTCGAGCACAACTTATTGCCGCTCATAATCATATCAAGGCACTACTCATACAACTTCTTTCCTTCTCTTATATACATGAGTGGAATTGATGATTAGACATTTTGAATAAAAATCAACCAATATAGGATAATGTACATTCAGAAATAATAATATGAGTGTTATCAATCAAACAGAAAATAAGACGAGTGTTTTTATAGTCATAATAAGTAACTTGTTAGAATGTTATGATGTATGTAAAGTGAAGTGGAATTTTAATATTATTATTATTCCTCTTCTGATTTGATCGGCGGTAATAATATCTTCCATATCTGTGGTATTTGCATTGAGTCATTTCTGTTGCATGTAATGGGTTGGGTGTAGACTTGATGAACCAGGCAGGATTCAGTAATCAATCACTCTCTCCACCTGCATAGATTACTTTTTAGAATCTTAACCCTTTCTTACACCTATTGTGTGGTTGTGTGTTAATGCATGCAGTGCAATTCATTGCTAAATTTTTTCTAAATTACTTATATTCTCGGGGTCAGTCATTCTTACCTTAGCTAAATTCTTATGTTCTGACAATCTAACTACTCCCGATCTGCTGGTTTGACCTATGTAGTTGACCTAACTCACAGTCATTGCAAGGTATTTTGTGAATTATATTATTTTGTTTAATTGGGTCCACCGGGTCTTTTAGCCTACAGAACTTGTCCTCGCTGAGTGAGTTTTTAGGTTTTATTGTCACCCTAATTCCTGTTTTATTAAGAATGTCCTCTTAGATGTCCCCTCCTTATATGGTATAACAGTAGATGCCCTATATTCTCTCTTATTTATGTTATCATTACTATTTTCACAATTATTTTTTTATTTTGCCATTTTTTGATCTTCCGAATGGATTTTATAAGATAATTATGTGTTTCCAACGCCTCTTCTATTTGTTTTATTTCATCATTTTTTCTTTCTTGTACTACTTAGTGCTATAGCCCGGTTTGTTAAACACTTAACTCAGCCTGCCTGCCTTAACAGTTAACGGATGAGATGAATTAAAATTAGTCGCAATATTGTATTATACATGCTGAAAATTCTACATTTCTATCAAAATTCGTGTTTGGAATAAAACCAATACTATATATTATGATTATTATGAGATCACTTGCTGATATAATTTTGCAGTGGCCTCTGTTTGAAATGATTTTCGTGATATAGAAAAGCTGACTGATTACAGGATTTCATTATGAGAGATGAAAAATGATGATGAAATCCTGTAACCAATCAATCAAATCCCTACAAATCAATACTTGAAAATTGACTGACTTAACATTAGTGTCAACTTCATAGACTTTGAGAAGGCCTTCGACAGCGTTGACCGCGAAGTAATTTGGAAACTACTCGAGTACTACGGCGTACCGCAAATATTCATCAACCTTATTCAACAGCTGTACGACAACGGCACATGTCAAGTGATCCACAACGGAAAACTCAGCGAAGCGTTTCGAGTAAACACAGGAGTCAGACAAGGGTGCTTATTATCACCAATGATATTCCTAATTGTGGTGGACTGGATTATGCGTCAGACAGTGGGAAACGAGAAGACAGGGATATCCTGGACCGACGTGAAGAACCTAGAAGACCTGGATTTTGCGGATGATTTATGTTTGATGGCACACAAAATCGAAGACTTACAAGCAAAAACCGACAAACTGGTCGAAGAAGCAGCAAAGACAGAACTCCAGGTGAACATAGACAAGACGGAGGTTATGAAAATAACCAACCAACCAACAACAACAACAGCAACATCCAGCGCCAATCACCATCAACGGGAGGGATTTGAAAGAGGTTACTTCTTTCACTTATCTAGGGAGCATTGTCTCAACCACAGGAGGAACGGACGAGGATGTCAAATCGAGAATCGGGAAGGCGAGAAACACATTCATCAACCTGAAACCAATCTGGAAATCTTCGTCACTCAGTATCAACAACAAAATTCGGATTTTCAACACAAACGTCAAGTCAATTTTGCTTTACGGATCAGAAACTTGGCGGGTCACCAAGAATATTTTCAACAGGTTGCAGACCTTTATCAACAACTGTCTTCGCTCCATACTGAAGATTAGATGGCCAGAAAGAATCACAAACAAGAAGCTATGGGAACAAACGAAACAGGAACCAATCGCTCAACAAATATGCAGGAGGAAGTGGAGATGGATTGGACACTCGCTGAGGAGGCCGTTGAGTGACATCGCGCGTCAAGCCCTCGAGTGGAACCCGAAAGGGAAGCGGCGAGTGGGACGTCCAAGGGTGACATGGAGGAGATCGTGTGAAAGGAGATGAAACAGTATGGAATAACATGGACGCAAGTGAAAAGAACAGCACAAGACAGAAGCAAGTGGAGACGTGCAGTTGAAGCCCTATGTTCCACTAGGAACCCAAGGGAACAATAATAATAATATAAATAACATTAGTGTTGAAAATCAGAATCTTGTTGCAGAATGACAAACGTCTGCCTTGTCTCTTTCCAAATCTGATTGAGATATCCTCATCCGTGTTATCGCCTGTAGTTGAAACGATGCCACCTAGAGAAGTGAAGGGAGTCACCTCATTGAAATTTTTCCCGTTGTGTGTATCTTCATCACCTACGTCTCGTCTATGATCACTTGAAGTACTGCCTCTTCTGTCAACTTGTTGGTTTTCGCCTGTAACTCCTCGAACCTCTGTGACATTAGACATAGGTAGTTAGTTATTGAACGCCAACGGCTGTTCTTCTTCTATCTGTTTCATTTCATCATTTAGGTTTTTACTCTACCACAGTGCACAAGTTTTATTCATCGTGGTGTATCTTTTCGTTTGTTTGTTTGTTTGTGTGTTTCAGATTCCAGGGGATTTATACCGTCTACCGAATTTGCATACTCTTCTGTTAAACAAAACACCATTTCAAGAATATTTTGTATCAGTAACAAATAAGAAAATATCCAATCGTCAAAACAATAATACTACTACTAATAATAAGGATTGTGACGATAATGATCTGAATAGTGTTCACAAGAAAACGTATACACGTCATATTGTATCATATTTAAAATCAATAACTGATCAGTAAGTATTTCATCGATTTTCTAATCTCTCTTTAATATGTTTCTGTAATTAGTTACAGGGTTTTGCAGTTATTATAATTATTTATTTAGACAAAGTAATAAGAAGACGTAATTTGTCTGAATCGCGTGTATTGTGTATTTGCGCGCACAACACATTTGAAACAATCTGATCACACTCCACGTACGTGTAATAGGAATGAATATATATATGAAATTAATAAAGAGTTAAATGGTGAGAAAATAGACTACTTAGGTCAAGTTAAAAGGACATATTCAAGGTCAAAGTAACAATGAAGATGAATTACTAAACCAAATCAGAGAGGTAATAGTACATCTACCCCGGCCCAGTATCAAAACAAAGTTTAGCAAGGAACGCAGGTGGTTTAGTGTAATGACGAATTGTTGCTTTGAACGCATAAAGGTGGTGGTTTAAACTTTCTAACTGGCAACTAGGGCTTCCACAAACTTTAAGATATACCCGAAACACGCTTTATGGATAGTTTGGAAAAACGTGTAAACATTAATTTTATGTCCTGACACAAACTCTGGGTGATAATAATTACCCAGACAAGTTCAGTAGAAGATATAAAGTAGTCAGAACATTAAGACCCACTCTTCAAATTGCCACTAAGAAAGACGTATATATCAAGCTACCCCTATATGGGTGATCATTGCAGCTTGACAACTAGACAAAGATTGAACGCTACTGTTAAGAAGACTTTTTATGCAGCCAAGATCAGAATAAGTGAGAATGTAAAGCCAATATATCCATCCATCTAAGCCCTTTGAACATGCGAAAAATGATGTCACATCCCAATGTATATACCAATTTCAATGTAAATGTGGCCACACATACATAGGGAAGACTCATCTGTCTCTGCAAGTAAGGGCTTCAGAGCATATTTCTAAATGGCTACAGAAGCAAATAAAATCCCCAGAAACTATTAGTGCTGAGAACAGACAATCTCCTCTATTGAGAAACGTATTATAGAGACAGGACGTGAAATTGATGTTTACACGTACTTTAAACCTACCTATAAAACATGTTTGGGGCGTATCTTAATGTTTATGGAAGCCCTAGCTGGCAATTAGGAAGTTTTAACCACTTTTATGCTTTCAAAGCAACAATTCATCATTACACTAAACCACCTGCGTTCCTTGGTAAACTTTGTTTTGATACTGGGCCGGGGTAGATGTACTATTACCTCTCTGATTTGGTTTAGTGATCTTCATTGTTATTTTGACTCTATACCCTCCAGTGGATCCCGAAGTATGAGAGACAATTGAAGAGTCCGAGCGTGTTGCATGGAGGGTATCATTTTGCGAGGAAGTGACAGTTTATAACTGACCGTGTAGTCAGCTAAAGAAAGAATTCAGGGAACAGAGGGAAATTGAGATGTACTGTGGAATTAATTAATTTTTAAACTTCCCACAATAGATTCTGGTTTCCGTGAAGATTGAATAATGGATATTAGTTTCTTTGTTGCTGTTCAACTAAGCTGTATCATTTGGTGTATACTTTGATGAAACACAAGTAAATGTAACAGTAGAAGATGGTAGTATTTGGTAGCGAACCGTTTATATGTGTTGTTTTTTTTAGAAACACCTATCATTTCTTCTCTTCAGCACTTAATCTGTTTTATAACGGAATATTATTGATTGTTGCTTGTTGTCTGACTTGACTACAATGCACCTTCAGACACGACACTATATGCAGCTGATTATCTGCTGATTATCTTCCCCCCGCCCCGTTACACACACATTCTCACTCTGAGATAGGCATTAAAGTCAGATTCAGCTGCGACAAGAACGACAAAATCTCGGGAATTCAAGTCATTAAGAAATGAACAAATCCGATTGTTTGAATGTCATTACAAATTACTTGAAAAACGCTCAATTTCTAGTCATTTATGTTGCGTCATCCAACTTATTTGCTCAATTTCACTTCTACTTAGTCTCAACCTGTAACTGCCTCTGTTGCTACCCTGATCTAAGTTGAAACTTACTAACTCAATCTTACTTTATTTGCTGTCTGATTAACCTTGTTTCTATATTAGATCATTCTTGTATTACCTGATCAATTATCAAAACTTGACAAACTTCATGTACAATCACACACACACACACACAAATAGTAATATATAAATGCGATTGTACAGCTATGTGAATGAATTCACCGTCGAAAAGAGTCTCTTCGCTGAACGTCTTCTCTTTTTCATTGGCTTACTTTTTTGTACTTTACTGTATTCCTTCTTTTGCGTATCCACTGGTTCCGACTATATTAGCACTATGAATAGTACAAAATTTCCCCGTCATTAACCATGTAATTATTAGTTTTGTGGTTGTTTTTTCTTATTTTTTATCTTTTTCGGCAATACTAAACTGACAATCTTGGTTGTGAACGCCATTATCACCACCTTAAAATTTTGTATTATGCAGGATTACTCACACTACTACTACAAACACTGCATTATACCTAACAATAAAAAACAAAACAACAACCCTGAAATGTTATTTTATGATTGTTTAGAGTTGTTTCAACCAAATTAACTTATCATCTTGGCGATAAACATTCTTAAATAACATTTCATAACTTCTTGTATGACTATAGCTTTACTGTCACCATGCATAATCATATCATTGTTTCCACTACCCAATAATGAGTTATTATTATATGATGTTTCATTTCCTTTCTACTTCTTGGTATTTTTTCGTATTTTTTTAAAAAATTATTTTGTGTTTTTCCTGTTTTTTGCTGTTGGTGTCTTTATATCTATTTTTTTTAAATACTCCTTTTAAACGTTGGATAAAATTAGATGCAAATATTGTAGATATGTGCTGAAAATTCCACACTGTACCACAAGTACTGTTTCTGGAATAAAGCAAATTATTATTATTATTATTACAAATTATCCAAAATGGTGACATCAATGTGTGTATATAAATTCAACTGCTCCTGTGGAGCTAGTTATATAGATCGTACCCAAAGGAATTTATCTTTACGCATTCCTGAACATATTCCTGTTTGGCTTGGGAAAAGAGCAACCAAATCATTAAATAGTGCAATTCTATCTCATCTAGTGGATAGCGAACACTGCATCAAAGTAGATGAGTCATTTACAGTTGTGTATCGAGTACCAAACAATCTCCCCAAAGGTATACGATTACGCCTCCTAGCCATAGCTGAGGCTACAGAGATTAATAGAGAGAGAGACCAGACCTATGTGCACAGAAAAAACTTATTCACTCTCTCTCTGTCTACCCTGGTCCACTATAAGGTCACCGAGATCATAATTTTTCGTATTATAAGATTTGATAGTGTGGAAAATTCCCATATTATGAATTAATCTTACTGCAATAAGATCGACTAAACCGGAACTTTGTAACCAAAAAGAACACGTCCAGACGCTGTTCCTACCGTGGCCAAACTTGGATTGATGATTCTTCTTCTCACCAAGAGTGCTCCTTCCCCTTAACCCTCTTGGCTTTGTTTTTCTTTCCTGTGCTTATTATTACAATTATTATCATTACCATTATTATTATTATTCGTCATAATTTATGCCCTTCATGCAAACATTCTCTCAATACTATCGAATTTTTTTTCGTTTATCCTATCCGGACTTATTATTAGTGATATTATCTCTTTTCTCAATATATGCCTCCACCTCTTTCATTTCACATATTCGTTATCTCATTATGAACCTCCCATTGCAGTCTTACTATCTCCTGTTTAACACAGACCACTTTGTACTAGCCACTCACCTGACACCTTTTATAACCTTGAACTGACTTGTCAATTTTCCTACCCCACACTCTACAAATCTATTATGATTAATCACCACCATTGTCTCCCGTTTTACAATATTTTGTAATCGATTTCAGCCTAGCATATTTGTCACACAAATACGACTATTTATTTTGACACCCCATAACTAATCTGTTATTATACGTTAAAAAATGTATCTGCCGCATAACTGGCCTTTATTGTAACGACAACAAATATTATATTTTATAATTGTAAGAACCTGAAGAAGAGAAATTATTGAAAAGAATATTCTTCGTTCAGATTGACTTTTCGTATTATTATTATTATTTTGTGATATCATGTCGTTATTATCCATTTCTCCACCCAGTTTATTTCACCCCATTGTTACCCTTAACTTTTGTCAACCTTTGGGATTTTATACTTAGCCTACCAACTCTGCAACATCTTATTACAATTTAGCCTGTTTATTTTATCATTAGACATTATCGGTCAGCCCTCACATTTAGTGCCACCTTTGTTAATGTGTGTTTGCATGTATTTTGTGTTTATCGCATTTCTCTCACCCCAAGGACACTTTTATTCTGTTGACGATAAAACAGCACTATATCACCCAATTGTTCATTCACACTTCATCACATTTTCTCTGACTATACACATTTGACTGACTATACTAACAAATGGACTATCAGCTCAACTTACACATGCACCCGAAAACAGTTTCTGATATTATTTTCATTTGCCTTTATTGGCTATATGTACCCTATTATTCATGGATTTATAACTGTAGAGCTTGAAGAAGAAGAAGTTATCGAAAACAATTGTTCGCTCAAAATCTTGTTTTGATTTCAATATGGGGATTTTTCATTTACATTACAAAACCTTGGAAATCCAAACTTAAACTGAACCAATCAGAATCTATCCAATCAGGTTATCATTCCTGTGCATGCATCAATCATCACTGCACAGCTAACAACGATAGGTTGTACATCCTAACAAACTGTTTCTCAGCTATTTATCATCCTTTTCAGAGGATATCATATATATATATATATATATATATATATAGTCTTGTTAGTGGCTCCTCGGCCTATAACTAGACGTGATCAATTTTGATTTTAGCTACTTTATATGACTACTACGGAAGCCCGCTTAAATCATTGAGCTACCAGAATTTCCATTCATTAAAGTGCTTAGATTCTTCTACAATTTTTTATTGTTTTAAACGTTCAGTCGGTCGGTCGGTCGGTTTTCGACATAGAACTTTGCACATATGTGCGGCAGTTCAAGTCGCCACACTCTCTCCATGTAGCACACAAAGGAAGAGAAGAAAGTAGGAGAAATGCATAATATAGACAGAAAGTTGAGGTGCGAGACAAAGTAATAGTAATAACGCTGAACAAAACAGTTTCATTGGAAATGATAAGTCACAAGGAGTGGATGCATCTGCGCCACTGACAACGATTTTGAGCCATGTGTTTTAAACGTTCAATTTTATCGAATGACTTCTACATGAACTCGCGCGCATATTTAACTAGCTTCTAACTAAACGCAATGGAATTCTCAAAAGAAATGAAGAAAACAGCTCACACAATTGGTTTTCTCCGCATATGCAACAGATTATTACTGTACTTGTAAATCCTGTATGACGAGAGATTATTTTGAAACTAAATAGGCTGAAAATTTATGTTGAAATATTGTCTGAAATAAAGCTTTGTAATTATTAATACTTTTGTTGCTGTAGGGGTTTCCATCGTCCTGTTTTTCTTTTTTCCTTTAGACCTAGTCCATTTACTCGCTTCCGTTTAATGGTTGTCGGTCCAACAGGTGTAGGTAAAACTACTTTAATTCACCTGTTGAAGTCATGTGAAGAATGTGAATCACCGTCAACGAAGAATACTTCCAAGGAACAAGTGAGTTTTATTGTCATTTTTTATTGTGTAGCCTTAGATCACCCTATAATAGCGTGAGCAATATTGAGGTTAGGCATAGGTCGAGTGTTAGGTAGGGAGGGGAAGTCAATAGACGAGGCTGTGAAGTTACATTGATTGAGATGGTTAGGTCATGTGTTACATATGATTAGTCATCGCCCCCCTTGACTGGCAATGTTACCTGATATAAGGTCAGGTTTGAAAAGATCCAGTGGTGGTCAAACCAAAACTTGGCTTCATCAGTCAATGAAATCCACAACAGTTAGTTTAAGCCAACCAGCCAGCCACGTAAGAAGGTGTAGACTTCCCGACTGCTTGGGGTCCACAGGAAAGTAAAAACCAATGAAGATTGGAGACAATTGGTAATAAGGCTCAGAATCGTCGTTGTCAATAGCTGGCGCAGATGCATCCACTCCTTGTGACTTATAATACCCAATAAAACTATATTGTTCTTCGTTATTACTATTCTTTTTGCTTCATATCTCTGTTTACTGTCTCTATTTTGCATTTCTTTTTACTTTCTTCTCTTGCTTTGTGTGGTACATGGAGGGAGTGTGGCGACTCGAACTGCTGCACATCAGTGCAAAGTTCTATTTTGAAACCAGTCAGTCAGATCATATGTAGACTTTTGATTATTCCTTTTGGTACCTAGTGTCCTGTTCTCTGCAATTCTTCTGTAGCCGGCTCCACGGTTGCTCCATAGGCGCTCATTTCCTCCATTACTCTCTGGAATTGACATCTGACTGGTCGTTCCCCATTCAGCTCCCACTCAAGGGCTAACGGTGTTGAGTCATTCCTATTTCACGTGTTTTCATTTGATTCAATAAACAGAGGTTTAGTTATTTAGCTCTTCCTCCATCTTCTTATTACATTTTAAGACTGTCATCTTATCCCATCCTTTTTGTATGGTATAACTCCATTATGAATAAGATTTGTTTTTGATAAATCACACAGTGTTACACAGTTATATTAACTGAAAGGAAGGCTTAGTTAAATGTCTAACAAACCGAGCAGTAGCACTAAGTTGTACAAGAAATGACGTAAATGATGAAATGAAACAGTCAGAAGAAGCGTTGGTATCAAATAACTATCCTATAAAATTCATTAGAAAGATCGAAAAAGGCCAAAAGCAAAATAAAATTAATGATGTAGCTAATAATGATAACATATATAAGAGAGAATATAAAGCATCTACGGATTTACCATATAAGGAGGGGACATCTGAAACCTCACGTAGGATTCTTAAGAAAGCAGGAATTAGGGTGACATTCAAACCTACAAAATCAATCAGGTAGGACAAGGTCTGTAGACTAAAGGACCTGGTGGATTCAATCAAACAAAATAAGTCAACTACATAGGTCAAACATGTAGATCGGGGGTAATCAGATTGTCGGAAAATAAGAATTTAGCTAAGGTTAGAATGGTTGACCCCAAGAAGATTAGTAATTTAGAAAAACAAACTCAGCAATCGCACTGCATGCATTAAGACATAATCACACAATAGGGTAGGTGGGACAGAGTCAAAATTCTAAAATGTAATATAGGTAGGTGGAGTGTGAGAGATATTGATTACTGAATCTTGCCTGGTTCATCGGGTCTACACCCAACACAGCACATGCAACAGAAGTGACTCAATGCAAATACCAGAGATATGGAAGATATTATTACCCCGCCAGAGGATAATAGATAATCTTAAAATTCTATTTCAATTCACGCTCATCACAACATTCTAACAAGTTACTTATTATGACTTTAAAAACACTCGTCTTATTTCCCATCTGATTGCGTTTGATTGATAACACTCGTATTATTATTTCTGAATGTACTTTATCTTATATTGTTGATTTTATTCAAATATCTAATCATCAATTTCTACTCATGTATATAAATGAAGGAAAAAGTTGAATGAGTGACTTGATATGATTATCAGTGGCAATAATTTGTGCTCGAAACGTGGTCATAAGTTAATATTACTGTCGAACACTGTGTGACAGTTTATCAAAATAAAATCTTATCCATAGTGGAGTTGTACTGTATCAGAGTGCCCAAGTTTTATACTTTTTTATGGTAGGTCTATGACTGAGCTTTTTTCTAGATTTTTTTATTGTATTAGGGTCAACTAATATACATTTCACTAGATCTTAGTGACTCCAATCTACTACTTTAAGATGTATTCAACCTCATCATCATTGCACAGAGTATTAAATAAACTAAATTATTTTGTATGGTGGTCTCCACGTGGTCCTTTAATTGACGTTATTTATTGTCTAATTGAGTTTGTTTAGTTTAGGTGCTCCAGTCATATTCCTGCCTTGTTCAGTCTCCTACGGAAAGTAAATCAGGTGCCCTCTTCTTGTGGCACAACTACTGATTTTTTTGAATTCCCTGAGTGTTGAAGTTGTTACCTTTATGTGTATGTTTCCCAGGCATGTCGTCATTATTATTATTATTATTAGTAGTAGTAGTGGTAGTATTGTGGTGTGTGCTACTGATACGATTTATCAGTAGTATGTACAGATATAAAGAGATGTTCGTCGGCAAAAAGACGTTAAATAACAGGGAGATAGATTTGACTTCAAAGAAAGCAAATGAAACAGCCTTGTGGAGACAGATACATGAGAGACGTGAAAGGAACACAAAGAAACACAATATGAATGAAGGCCAGAAGTAGCAGGCACAACAAGGGAGATCTAAACAAATGGTGCGTCGAAGATGAGCTGTACATAATTCGGCTATACAGAGATACCAAATTGCAAATAAACATTCTTTACCAAGTCCTTCATCTCCTACTGTAGAAGATGGGATCCGATCTCAGTGGCATTTTAGTTTTAGACTAATATTGAGTAAGGCTTGTGATTACATTATTATTATTTCCTTTAGTTCCTAGAGGAACATAGGGCTTCAACCGCACGTCTCCATTGCGTTCGTTTCTCTGCCAACGTTTTCACCTGACTCCACGTCTGCCAACATGCTTTCATCTCCTCTTCACATAACCTTAAAATCCATGTCACCCTCACACTGACGGCCAACTCGCCGCTTCCCATTCAGTTTACACTCGAGCAATGGCTCGGCGTGTGATGTCACTCACTTTGTAACGACAGAAGGCAAGAGTCAGGCAACAGATCATTTATTAATGAAATCAACGCATATTTATATATTTTCATGTACATTACTATGGATATTTAAGCAAACAAACACAGTCTTCCGATTGGTTTTTTCTCACGTAAAGTTAATCTTTCATCTCTCTGTGACTGTTTCTTGAATGTCAAATCCTCTATATGTTAACTGCATCCGCCTATGCAAAGTCTGCTGTGGTCGGTTTTGAATCAATCTTTGTTCACATTTTCTCACGACAAATCTTGGGAACGTAAATATTGACGTAAATTACTGTCTACCAATTTGGCTAGTAGACAGCTCTCACCACAACTTGATAGGTTTGTTTTCTCAGAGTACGGCAAATCCACCTCTATTTCTTCCTGTATATTTGTTGCACAATTAGTTCCTGCTAGGTTGGTTCGTTCATTGCCAGAGATCCCTGTTGCTGATCTCTTCTGGCTGGCCATCTGATCTTGAGTAGTATTGAGCGAAGACAGCTATTGATGAAGGTCTGTAGTTTGTTTGAGATGCTCTTCACGACGCGCCAAGTCTCTGATCCGTGTAGTAGCACTGACTGACTTCACGTTGGTGTTGAAATCCGGATCTTATTTTTCCTGCTGAGTGTTGATCTCCGCACAGACTTGAGAGTAATGAAAGCTTGTCTTGCTTTCCTGATTCTCGCTTTGATATTCTCATCAGTTCCCTCCACCTGTAGTTGAAACAATGCTTCTCAGGTCGGTATGTGAAGGAGGTTGCTTCTTGCAGATTTTCCTCATTTATGCTGACTGTTGTCTGTTGTTGTTGTTGTTGGCCAGGAATCTTCAACCTCTCTGTTTTCTCTATGTTCACCTGAATTCATATCTCCTATGCTTCTTTTATCGCCAACTTGTTGCTTTTCATCGCTTGCATATCTTCCAGTGTGTGGGAAATCAGACATATATCATCAGCGAAGTCCAGATCTTTCAGCGTTTTTGTCTGTGTCCATTTTATGCCTGTTTCCTAATTTCCCGCTGTCTGTCGCATTATCCAGTCTACCGCCTGCGATCAGGAAAATCATGGGAGATAGTAGGCAGCCAGCCGCCTTGTCTTACTCCCGTCTTCACTTCGAAGCATTCCGTGAGTTTCCCGTTGTGGATATACTTGGGATTAGCTATCATGTATATATGTAGTCAGTGTTTCCTACAGTCACCTAGTCTACTTACTGGAAATGTCTAGATGATGTTCGATTGATCGATGTTTTTTTGATATTATCTTACTATGTATCTTGTTATCAAGATTTTAAACATGTCATTTAAAAAAAATTATTGATTCATTGCAGCCAACTCAAGTGAATTCGGATCATCAAGCAACATCATCGCCATCAGCTTCGCCATCCTCGTATATGCAATCCGATCATAAACCGAATGATACGTCGGCTTTCGTCCTGGTTACACAACTTTCATTACATCGTCCGTGTAAATCTGCTGAGCCACCGATTAATACTGTAAGTGTTTATTGCATAATGTCCACTACACTTTATTGATATTAATGAGTACTTACATATTTGCTGTCTCTAATTTGAAATCAAGTAAAGCAGCAGGATCTGATGGAATGACTACAGAGATGTTTAAGAACAGTGGGGCAGTGTCTGGGAATCAGAGGAAGTCCCGACGGGTTGGTGTAAGTCATTGATTATCCCAATATACAAGAAAGGAGACACGTCTTCCTGTGGTAATCACAGGGGGGGGGATTAGCTTGACTAATATAGTATCTAAAGTTCTAGGCTCAATAATAATGTGTAGACTAAGCGATCCACGTGGAGAACAAACACGAGAGAAGCAGGCAGGCTTTAGACCAGGAAGAGGGTGAAATTGATCACATCGTCACCCTTCTGCAGATTCTGGAACACTGGCATACTTACCGTGGGCGTCCAGTGATCGTCATATTTCTTAACCTAAAGGCGGTATTCGATTCTGTCGACCGAAGGGTACTATGGCAATGTTTGACAGTGAGGGAATCACCAAGAAACTACATCACACTTATCTGGGTATTCTACTAGAACTGACGCATGGGTGTACAAGCTTGCAGAGAGTTGTCATCTGAAGTGATGACAACCATTGCTGTCAGTCAGAAATGTCCACTATACCAACTTTTGTTAAATTTCATCATAGATTTACTATTGAAATTGAACGTACCTGGCTCAGAGAAGATAGTCTTGTCAATTTAGAGTATGCGGATGATGTTATCCTCTAAGGTGAAGACACTAATAAACTGCAAGGTCTTCTGAACACCTTGAGCAGCGATTTCCGAATATTTAGCATGCGATTAGCTCACGTCAAATATAAGATGATGCTTCCGGACTGCACAGCATCGTCTCACTCTTACCTTAAAGGATAGGTTGCGAATCGGTTGACCATTTCACTTATTTGGCGGGTTGCATCAGCCAACGCCAGCGGGTTGATCACTGATGAAATCTCATCACGGATATAGAAGGCTGGTTTGGCATATGGTCTCCAGTTTACGCCATCTCTGGTTTAGTAGACGTGATATGCGACTGGCTGTCGACCAAAGGGCGTGTGTACCGCACTATATCAGTTCACTACGTCCTCCTTTATCACTGTGAATGAGATATAGCCCCCATTGAAAGTGGAAGACATGAAGCGCTTAACCAGTTGTATTAGATTGTAGGTGTGTCTGCGTTCTATCTCCCGTGTTAGGTGGTATAATTGGGTAAGCGATTTTGAGGTTAGGCGTTGAGTGACTGTTAAGTAAAGAGTCGGGTAAGTCAATCGATAATGTTGTGAAGCTATATGTGTTGAAATGGCTAGAATGCGTGTTATGCGTTCCACCTAGTCATCGCCCTCATCGACTGGTGATGTTAAATGATATAGGATTGATTGGTTACAGGATTTCATCATGAGCTGACATTGGTTAGAGAACCATCGGAAAGCCTGGGAGTACTGGACAGCTGTTTCGTCAGTCTAGTTTTGTACTCCTATTCAGCAGTACGCACCCACACCGCAGAGTTCGAACCCAGGACCCTCCGGTTACAAGGCGAGCGAGCTAGCTCGTAGACCATTCAGCCACTGGGACCCGATCCAATGGCTAACCAGTCCATGAATTCTAACTTCTGCCAATTCACGATATAGCGCAACCGCTAGCCAATGTCTTCGCTGGCGGGTATTTGTCCTCAAACCCGACCTGCTTCACCCCACTGGTCACGGATTCCCACTAGAATCCTAAGTAACTAACTACCTACCTGAATGGAGCGAGTCGCCAGTGAGCATCTCATTGATATTAAAGTATTGGTTTGTAAGGATTTGGTTGATTGGTTACAGGATTTCATCATGAGGTGACATTGGTTAGAGAACCATTGGAAAACCAGTCAGGGAGTACTGGACAACTGTTTCATCCTAGCATTGAGTTGAGAAAGAGCTGGCGGTGATCAAACTAGAACCTGTCATCAGTCACCTCATGAAATCTCTGAAAATTTGTTTGAACCAAATACTTAGAGAAATGTAGACTTCTTGGTTGGTGTCCTTGGGATGGTGTAAGCACTAGTGACTGGAGGCGCGGATGCATCCACTCTTTGTGATCTGTTATATTCACGTAAACCTGTTGTTTTTCCATGTTACTATTCTCCCCCCCCCACATTTCTCCTCATACTAGTTCTTTCTAATTTCGTTTTTTACTCCAACTGAGTGCTGGTCGATTCAGCACACCTAAGCGTAATCCATTGGACATTTTGGAGCCACTGAAGGAAACTACCTCTTTTGTGTTATTTTAAGTGGCATCATCTGATATTATTTGCTTATACTTGTGCTTTGGTGGTTCAGTAGTGAGCGGTACAATGCCATCTAGCCACACAAGTAAGTGGTCTGGGTCCCCGACTAACGGACTGTTAAACTTCTACGTAGTCAATAAGAATCTTGGAAGAAAATAGGGAAGGTTGAGCTAGCGTGAAGTTTGGCAGCCCCATCTCTTAGAAGAAAACAACATCACAGATAGTGAAATTTAAATGGTCAAATTGCCTTAAGATCTATTTTCCACCCTGGGATCGTAACTTCAATATCAATGTTTCCCTAACCGTATTGATTTCCTATAATAATGCATTTTATCACTACTTTATTGATTTTTATACAGAATACCTCAAATGAATTTGATCAGCCAATAAGCAAAAATACTTCCCCTTGTGATACTGTATCCTTCGAAGTTTGGAATGTACGAGGGCCAAGTCGAGAAGTTGTGGATAACGTTTACAACTGTGAAATTCATCACTCTCAAATGTCAAATGTCAACAAGAAAGACACTCTCCACTCGCATATCGATCCAATATCTTCTGAATCGATCAGTTATCCCTCTGAGATATTGATCAATACAGTTATGGGTATACATTGTGAACTGACTGTATATTTAGTACTTTGGTGTATATCTGATGGTGTATTAGGGTTGAATAGAATCACTCCATGGTTAATGAAGATTCAGGCAAGTGTCTCTGTTCCAAATTGTCTTCTTAACTATTTGATAGTTTTAATAACTTTTTTTGTACCCGTGCATGCTTTTCTCTGTATTGTTATCGTGTGAAAGTTAATGCAGATAGAATATCATAGGGTTTTTATTAGATGGTAGAAGACGACCGGTTGAATGAAGTCTCATCTGACCAAGTGCTTATCCTGAATTCCACTACTAGTTACCATCCAATAATCTTCTCCAAGTTAATCCTCAACAGTCGTGGAAACATCTGCAGAAGGAGCCATCCTATCAACAGAGGCTGATTTAATCGGTCAGCGGGAAAATCGAAACTGATATTCAAGTGTTGGTTTGTAGGGATTTGATTGATTGGTTATAGGATTTCATCATGAGCGTTGACATCGGTCAGAGAACCATTGGGAAACCATTCAGGGAGTAATGGATAACTGTTTCAGCCTAGTCTGATACTCGTCAGCAGTTACCTTGGTTCTAGTGAGAAGTCGTGACCGGTAGGTGATAGGACCTAGCATAAAATAGTGCATCATCCTTTCTCACGAATCATGTGATTTATCTTGTGATGGAATTAATATGTAAATGTATCATTTCTCATGCATATTGTGATTTAGTGTATGTGACCGTTTCATTGTCTTTTGTCTCACCTTGTCCTTTGTCTGATTTCCGACCAATAGGAGCAATACATTCATCCTCACGGTCGTGAGCCGACTTTGTTATGGTTAAGAAAATGTATAAATATCATGTGTTGTTTCTTAAACTATGTGGAGTGCAGTACAATAAAATATCTTAGAGACACTGGCGCCAGCCTTTATCTTTTGATATTTGCGTGGCTCCATGACTTGGAAGGTACGACGGACAAATAGACGTATTAGGGCACCAGTCGAGTTCATTACCGTTATAGTAATTAACAGGCGCAAACATAACAAAATAGCGACGGATTTATTCAGTTCAATTCAGTTAGGTCGGATGTGAGGAGAAATACCTTGCCATGGATGACATTGGTCATTGAATCAGGTCCCAGTGGTTTAATAGTCTACTAGTTCGGATCGTAATCGGAAGGTCGTGGGTTCGAACCCCACGGTATGGGTTGCGCACCGCTGAAGAGCCCCAAAGCGGGCTGATGGAACAGCTGTCTGGCAGTACTCGCCGACTGGCTTTCCACTGGTTCTCTAATCAATGTCAGCGGATGATGAAATCCTGTAACGAACGAAAACTGAGTAAAAAATAAATATGCCAGTCTTGTTGTGATTATTTCGTCGTTTAGTCAAATTCTTGTATTATAACTCATTTGATTAGACTAATGCCCAATTCAACAGAAATTATTTTCACCCTTTTCCCATCGTTTCTTTTTCAGGCAGTTAACCCTAACAGTCCAATCATTCTTATTGGTACATATACTGATTCCGCAGATACGCCTTCTATTGAAAAGGAAATAAATTCATCACAAAGAACACGTCAAATTACAAATGCTGCTGCTGCTACTACTACTACTACTGCGAAAAATATAAGTAGTGTTAGTAATAGTAACAACAAAAAAATGTCAAGCACTTCAAATTATGACCTACAATCAGCGCTAATGGAATCACTTGTTCGAAATCGATTTTTTACAAATCCTGATTTACCCGCCTATGGTCTGGCAAATCTGCATAGTTGTGTTTTTTTAAATCTAAGCGCGATAAAACATCAGCAAATAACAATGAGTAATAATAATAATATTGGTAATAAGGATTATGAATTATTAATGAAACAAATTTATGAACTGGGCACACTAATTCATAAAGCTGCGTGTGCTTTGAGTGTTTCAAGTAAGTTTACGCTAGAAGTTGTATTGAAGGGTGTTTTTTATTGGTCATATTATTTTACTGTTATTTTTAATAGGTAGGTGTCATGTATCCCCAACACCTATTTTATTTCCTGGAGATCCGTGTGTAAACATAGGTCTTCAACAGCATATCTCCATTTTTGAACAAAGAAAGAAGAAACATTGGCGCAGAATAATCTGGATCCACTTTATTTCGTTGGTTCTCATCAGCTGCGTACAACCTGAATTTTTCATTAAAAATAAAGGTGTACAATTATAACAAACCTTTGTCCATTAGCAAGCATAGTGTCAGAGCGTCATAGTAAAATAAGGCATTGAGATTTACAGGGTGTCTAAAGTGTCACGACATATATATATATATATATATATATATATATATTGGTAGAGAGAAGTTTCTTGAAAAAAAGTTAATTAACAGTTGTGTTGTTAAAGTGGTAACAAAAGACAATTAGCAATAGTTACGTAATTAGATAAAAGAAGATCAAAATTTAAAAATTACGGTGCACTTGAGGTCAGATGAGTTGATGATGTAATACAGTGAGCAGAACTCAGAAGATCAATCTGGACTGATTGGTTGCCTACCAAAGTTTCTTGGTGCTAATTCTTTATATTTAGCAATCTGATCTGCCGTATGCAGGCGGCGAAGTCGGCAAGTGCCTTTCCCTATCGCTCGGTAGTTGCTAACTCTTTGAACTTGCCAGTGAATTTAGTATTTTAGGAGTAAGCAAGAGATGACATCAAATGGAACCATTGGAAAACCAGGGAATACTGGACAGTTGTTTTGTCCTAGTTCGTTATTCTTCAAATTCAGAGTCTTCTGGTTACATAGCAAGGTCGTAGACCATTCAGCAACAGCGACCCTGCGCAACGGACCATGACTTCCAACTTCTGTCAATTTGCGGTATGTGTAATGCAACCTTCAGCTGCCGTCTTACCAGACTTAGATTTACCTGGAGTTAAAATAAGAAGTTGTAACAAGTGAGGCTCACTGTGTACAGAGCCGATGGCCAGGTAGCATCAGCTGTTGGTTTGCAGGGAATTGATTACTTACAGGATTGATCAGCTGGCGAAACAGCTAGCTGTCCAGTACTCCATGGTTTTTCAATGGTTCTCTTACTCGTAATCCCTACAAGCCAAGACTTCGTAATTCAGTATTTGTCAAGGCCACTTAAAGCCTGACAGCCTGCTTCAACTGTTTTTTGAATGGGTAAGAGTTATCTCATCAGCACTCCGCCAGTGGTGTTGTTTTTATTGTTGCCTATGACTGATGTAGTGTTTAGCGATTTTAATAGTTTTCTGTACCACACATTCGTATTGTTGTCTGTCTAATAGATGGCATTATCGGTTATATCACACTTACCTTCTGTTATTGGTCCCTCATATAAAAATATTCATTCATTCATTGATTTTCTGATGCGGAATGTTTTGTAAGAACAAGATGCTCATGAATTGAGCTATAGGTTCGTGCATTTCTCGGCAATATTCTACTGGTAGGGCCTGGCTTCACAGCGGCAAATAAATCGGTATATGCATCTGGATATTGCCAACAGTGGAACATCGTTATCTTTGATATTTGATGCATAAGAGGTTGGCATGGGGAAGATGAGACGTGTGATGTGGCGAAGCAAAACGCTTTTCTAACTGCTTTCCATAATCTGCTTGGCATCTAGGTCCAGGGCTTCCTGTTAGTTACCAGTCAATGAAATCTACAACAGTTAGTCTAAGCCACGTAGGAAGGTGTAGACCTCCTGACTGGTTGGGGTCCTCGAGACGGAAAAAACCAATGATGGCTGGAAACAATTGATGACATGGCTCAAAATCGTTCTCACTGGCTAGTGCAGATTCATCCACTCCTTGTGACTTATCATTTCCAATGAAACTGTTTTGTTCTTCGTTATTACTATTCCTTTGTCTCACACCTCTGTTTACTGTCTATATTATCCATTTCTCCTACTTTCTTCTCTTCCTTTGTGTGCTACATGGAGTGTGGCGACTTGAACTGCCGCATATATGTGCATAGTTCTATGTCGAAAACCGACCGACCGACCGTTAGTTACCTTCAATCATGCAAGACATCTGTAAGTATGGAACAAGTATGAGATGCGAATTCTCAAGTATCTGTGATAGATGGGTGTTAAGATTCAAATAGATATTTTTATTAGGCTAATTATTCACAATCTTCTTCACAAAAAAGTCTAGACTTTAACGTAATAGGCCCATTGTGTCTTTTGATGGTCTTGAGTTTTATACTTAAAAATGGATCTCTAATGTGCACTGTTGAAGAGCACAAAACTGGGACGAAAGAGTTATTCAGTTCCCCTACTTTTTCAATGGTTCTCATGGCAACATCTGTTCGTGAAGAGAACTGCCTTTGAATAAGTCAAATCTCTACAATTGAATCGTTGAAACCCACATATAGCGTTATTTGAGTCTATTTCTTCGGTCTCTGTCGATATGTTGTCTCTTAGTATCACAGACGCTTCGACAGTGCTTCTTGGGATCGAGACATGATATTATTTGGTGGACGGCGGCTATCAGTGGAGTCCAGTAGATACGTATTTCGTCCCACTTTTGAGACTTGTCGACTGGATGTACCTGAAACCACCGACTGAGTGAGCAAGCGGTGTCGCAGCACTGAGACTCGAACCCAACCAGTTCCAATTGTTTTAAACACCGAAGCATTATCAAGGTATATCCAGCTGATGACTCCCAAAACAAGCTGAAACGCTCATCCGTAACTCCGCTTCTAGTTTAGTTTGACTTGCTGGCTTTTCTTTTTTAATCAATATTGTATATTTTTTTTGCACACTACACCCTTGTATTTTCTTCGTTTTCTTCATTTTACAATGTATATAATTCAAGATCGTAGAATTGGTACTCTGTTACCAAGTGTTTCATTGAATTCAACTTCATGTCTGTCATCATTCGTACAGTTACCAATTCCTAAGCTATATCATGATGCACTGAGGATAACAGAACAGTTGACCAATGAAATGTTTTCTGCTCAAATGCTTCCAGTTATAGAGGTGAATGAATTTTTGTAAGTTTAACTTATATATGTATGTAGCTATAGAGTTTGGTTTGTAAGGATTAGATTTGTTCTTACGAGTTTGACCACGGATTGGTATCAGTTAGAGAACCATTGAAAACCAGTAAGGGAGTACTGGACAGCTGTTTCACCAGCCTTGTTTGGGAATCATCGGCAGTACGTACATCACTACCAGGGTTCGAACCCAGGACCTTCTGGTTGCAAGGCGAGCTAGCTCGTAAACCATTAAGCCACCGGGACCCAATACTTGAATATCGATGAGATGCTCACTGGCGACTGGCTCCAGCTAGTTAGTTACCTAAGGATTCTAGTGGGAAGTCGTGACCAGTAGGGTGCAGCAGGTTGGGTGTGAGGAGAAATACTCGCCACCGAAGACATTGGCTAGCGGTCGGTCGCTATGTCGTGAATTGGCAGAAGTTAGAATTCATAGACTGTCTAGCCACTGGATCGGGTCCCAGTGGCTGAATGGTTTACGAGCTTGGCTTGTAACCGTAAAGGCTTGGATTCGAACCCCAATAGGTCCGTACTGCCGATGATCCCCAAACTGGGATGAAACAGCTCTCCAGTACTCCAAGCTGGTTTTCACTGGTTCTCTAACTGATATCAATTCGTGGTCAAACTCGTATGATATGTTTATATTCTATTTCGGTAGTACACTACATTGGCGGCTAAAATACTGTGTATATCTGTCGTTGTCGTCCGACTGTTGGATACAATCAGCAAGAAACCTTGGGCGGGCGTAGATTTCGTCCATTTTTTGGAATTTACCAGCAAGGCGTATCTGCTGTCTTGAAGGAATTCATGTCCCCTCTCTGAGATTCGAATCCGAATCATTTAGTGTTGACTACAGTTAGACACGTTACATCACTGAACAATTAGGGCTTGCGATTGTTCTCCTGTAGGACATTTTGCTTGGACACTGGGTAGTAGTAGTGTGGTGAGAGCTGTCTGCTAGCCAAAATTGGTAAATAGCAATTTACGTCCCAAATCTTGGTCACGGGATAAAAAAAACAAGAACAAAGACTAACTCAACAACCAATCACAGCAGACTTTTCGTGGGCGGATCCGGTTCGCGGATATATGGTCTGACCTTCAAAGAAACGGCCACAAAGAGATGGCAGAGTAACTTCTAGTGAGGAAACGACCAATCAGAAGACTCTCTTTCTCTGCTAATAATGGCGAATAATAATGTACATCGAAATATAAAAATATATGGTGATTTCCTCAATAAATGATCTGTTGCCTGACCCTTGTCGTCTGTCGTTACAGTAGTAATTAATTTTATGTCTAGTTCTTCTATCAGATAAGGCCTTGCTGACTGATGAATGCCGACAAACGTGAGACTTATGACAGGTGAGGCTCCTTGCTGGTTGCTACCAGTGATCTGGTAACAACATCAATAAATCAAAGTTCACCGTGACTGTGAGCCACATAGCATGATGCCAAATAAGCAAAAATTGACTGATAAGATTCAGTCTTCACTTAACAAAGGTTGTGACGCATGACATGACATTACTTTCTTTCTACCTAATGTCTGATCAGACTGTACATCTGAATGTGTGTCATTATGCGTTTTATAAAACACAAAATAATTGAGCCAGCAAAGAATATCCCCCTTTCGATAATTTCCTCTTCTTCTGGCTTTACAACTATATTTTTTATTTTTTTATATTTTGATTTACAGCTTGATTCCACGCCGTATTTTCAGTACAAGTGTGGAATTTTCAGCATGGATATCGGTAGCCCAAATTCAGGCCGACCATAGATATCGGGTGTTTGTCGGCAGGGGATCGAACCCCGGCCCATGTGCATGGTCGGCGAGAGTCCTAACCACTGTGCCACCGACGCACAAGTTATACGTATATGTTTATATACATAGCATATTTTAGAATAGTAGTCAATAACAATATTAGTATTTTTTAAATAATATCGATTTGTTAAGTAAGATCACAGTGGAATTACAGTTCATTAAAGATGCTTAAATTATAATAATAAGCATAAAAATATAATAGCAAATAGAATATAAACTAAAATTAGGGAAATTTCAACAAAAATTGAGGATTATTCAAACCTGGATGGCTAAGATAAGGACAATGTCTGAACTAGCTTCTTTATGGACACATACATTAGGTTTCTTAATGTGGATCTCAACAGCCTCGGTAATATTTAGTAGTCGAACTCTTATATATCCCGTCTTGACTTGCATCGCAAGGTAATACTTTATTTTTTTTTTTAATTTTTGATTACAGCTTGATTCCACACCGTATTTTTGATACAAGTATGGAATTTTCAGCATGCGATATCGGTAGTCCAAAGTTTGTAGGCCGACCATTGAAACCAGGTGCGCGTCGGCAGGAGATCGAACCCCGGACCATGTTCATGGTCGACAAGAGTCCTAACTACTGTGCCACCGACGCACATATACCACATCAATATATGGATAAAAGACTGCGACACCAGGTGCTCGAGTAGTACTTTTGGTTACCGTCTGTTTTGAAACAGTGACACGAATGTAGTTGTTTAGAGACCTAATCACCGTACACGTAACAATTAAACCAAAACGGATAGATAAGGTACATCATACCCACATCTATCACCCCTGCTAAGCGACCGAATCAGGAAATGATGAGAACGGAAACAATCTGCTTAACAGCCAGGTTAAGTAAAGGACAAACAAAATCCATTTGTAACGCTATTCTATCACATCTTGTGGATACAACAGAACACACAAGATTGATGTCAACGAGGCGGCTTTCAAAGTTAACTGCTGCATACGAACAAATCTCAATTTCGCCTTAAGAGTTCGTTCAGTAAATATTGCTGAGGCTGTTGGGATCAACAATAAGAATGCTAATTTATGCGTCCAAAAGAAGCTAGTTTGGACATTGTCCTTACCTTGGCCAGCTAGGTTCGAATGATACTTAATTTTTTGTAGAAATTTCCCTAATTTTAGTTTATATTCTATTTGCTATTATATTTTTATGCTTGTTATAATTTAAGCATCTTTAATGAATTGTAATTCCATTGTGATCTTATTTAACAAATCGATATTATTTAAAAAACACTTATATTGTTATTGACTACTTTTCTAGAATATTCTTTGTTTATAAATATATGTATGTGTATGATTGTAGAGCCAGCAGAGGAGGAAATTATCGAAAAGGATATTCTTTGCTCAATTAGTTTGTGCTTTATAGGTGTCTGAATGAATATTATATTATGCCTTTTGTTGGAAAGTTTGATGACAGTATGAGCTTATATATATATATATACAACTGACAGCTAAGTATATCGAGATCTATATGTGTTTGTTTCAAAATACCCGAAATTCGGAGTGAAGTTGTATTAATCTAGTTTGGTAATCCAACTTGCTTCTCGTAATGATTCTCCTACGGTACAATTGTTGAAACGTATTATGCTGCTATTATATAAAGGTTGGTTCGAGAATTCATGAGAACTGACGGTGACACTATGCATATATATCACGAATGGACCAAAGTCAGAATTCATGGACTGGCTGGTTGGTCTACGAGCTTGCCTTGTAACCCAAAGATTCTAGATTCCATCTTTATTGGGTGGGGAGGATGAATGTGTACTGTTAAAGAGGAGTCCGAAACGAGATCCAAACACAGTGTTGTACAGTAATATTAATATCAGTTAATATTACTCTACAACACCGTGTGATTTAATAATAATAATAATAATAGCAGCTTTATTCCAAACAGTATTTTGGTACAGGTATGGAATTTTCAGCGTGCATTACAGTATTGCATCTAATTACCTCATACATTTTATAAGATTTTAAAAACGAAAAGCAACAGCAACAAAAAAATTAGATAAATAAAAAGAAATAAAACAGAACAGCGTTGCATTCACATTTTAAACAATGCACCAGAGGAATATGAAATATAAAATTAGTGTGTAATAGAAGATGTGAACAACAATATAATAGTAACACAGAAAGGAAAACAAAAACCAATGGGTATTATTTGTTAGAGTGCCGCAGTAAGTTGATCGTGTCATGCCTAACGGATTTCTCATCACAAAACAGCCGTGCCAGATAAGATATTGTGGAGTTTTTGTACTTGGTAGTCCTAGCATATAGCCTCCTATAGTTGCTTCTAGTTCTACAAGATGAAATGCAAGGAGAGAGCTGCGTATAGAGAGGATGCTCGGGGTCTGACAGTATAGTATTCGCTAGTTTCTTACACTAAATTATATGTCTATCCACAATAGTATTAACCAGTTGGTTTAACGATATCTCACTTCCCCTAATAACGGCTTTTAGTGCCCTACGCAGCAAAGCAAAATCTTTCTTAAGTAGTCCAGGAAAGATTAATGGGAAGCAGTAAAGAGGAATGGGTAGAATACAAGAATTGACAAACTGAGAAAGCAAAGACACCTACTACGTTTATAAGCAAACTGGTTGGGGTCATTGATAGGCTTTAAAGAAGGTTCAAGATTAAGTAAAATAAGTCTTTCTTTCAAAAACTTTCAAAAAAGGTGAGGTAATATCAATCGGTCGAAACTTAACAGTAGGTCCACTTGTTGATTTAGGCACTAGAACAACCTTGATATTTTTCCATGTGTCAGGTATAATACTTTTGAAAAATGATTCGTTGAAAATGTCAGTTAATAGGGAACATAAGATGTCAGCACATTTCTTAAGGATAACAGCAGAAACTCCATCAGGACCAAGGGACAAAATAAAATCTTATCCATAATGGAGTTATGCTCTACCACAGCGCCCAAATTTTATACTTAGATCAAAACAGTTGTATTTATTTTATTTTTGGTTTTTTTTTTTGATTTACAGCTTGATTCCACACCGTATTTTCAGTACAAGTGTGGAATTTTCAGCATGGATATCGGTTGCCCAAATTCAGGCATACCATAGATATCGAGTGTGCGCCGGCAGGGGCTCAAACCCCGGCCCATGTGCATGGTCGGCGAGAGTCCTAACCACTGTGGTATCACTCATTTCTCTGCTTCATTTTTTTTCTTGTCTTTCTGTTAGATCTCTGTTAAATCGACGTCTATTTGACCACTATTCATCTTCTCAACCTTTACGAATTTGTATGACATCGTCAAACTTGGATATCAGCAACAGCAGCAACAGCAGTGGTAACAAAAGTGGATTACCCTCTGATGTCCAAAATCAATCACCACTTTATGTTACTACAAACACTTATGGATTTTATACTTATAGCGAAATGAAGAGTATTTTATTATTTCTAAGTTATACTGGAACAGTTTTCCACTTTGATCGTCACCACCAAGATCACCATCATCGTCCTCATCATCGCCAGCACCACCACCACCACCACCCCCTTGTGAATCATCCAGACGTATTGTATTCCTATCACCTATTTGGTTAATCAATATTTTATTAAAACTAATCACCTATCTTCATAAGGAATATTTATATGATAAATTTAATAAATATCCCGCTAGAAGAAGAGAGGATATCCTCTGCCCTTTGAATGATTGTTGTAAGTCAGTTAATTCGGCACCGGATATTCTTAGTTTACTTCAACAGAAGCATCGTCAACCCTCTTGTGATGGTCAACGTGGAGATGATGGCGACGATGGTCATGATGATGTTGAGGGGGAGGAGGAGGAAGAGGAATATTATCCTGGTTGTTCGTCGTCTTCTTCAAAGAATATTTCAGGTATGTTTTAAAAAAAAATTTCATTCGTCTGCAATGTGTATTTTTTTATTCCTTCACGTTCCCCAGTGGAACATAGGGCTGCTTCAAGCTAGAGGCTTCAAGTTTCTGTAACAGTGGTGATTATTTTTTACAGGATGGGGTTGCTAGCCTCATACCCAACCTTTCCTCTCTACCGGCTTTATTTCTGGCTTAGCGAGATAAAGGAGTGCGTCCATTGGCCGGGGATCGAATCCCGGACCATGTGCATGGTTGGTGGGCGTCCTAACCGTTGTGCTACCGACGCACTGTAATGTGTATTGCTTTGCTCTACTTGAAGTTGATCACTATGTACTCACGGTTGTAAAGAGATGAGTTCTAGTAAGGGAGTTGAATCAAAGGTGTGAATGCATAAAATAATAGTAATAGTAGTAGTAGTATGAAATGCAACTAAAGTGTTTGTGATTATAACCATGGTTCATTGTGAATTGGCTAAACAATTCATGTCATATAAAGAATTATTCATAAGATGTTTGTGTCCAAATAGCTTCAAATGCGGACTAGTCAAGACTTTGTACTGTAGAGCGAGGAGAATATGCTCTATAGAGAAATTAGAGGAAGAATATATATGTATATATATATAAGTTGAGATTTTGTAAATTCTGGTTTAATAATACTACTAATTGATAAAGCTATTACAGCAGCAGCATTAAACAGCGAAGTGTCAGTAAGACCAACAATATCGTTTTGTTTTTCATTCATTCATTGGGAAATACAAAAAACCTCCATTATAATGAATATCACATACCCAATGCCCAAAATATTTCCAAACTGTTAAAAGTGAACTTGGTTTGGGCATACATAACTGGTTATATGATATTCATTATAATGGAGGTTTTTTGTATTTCCCAATGAATGAATGAAAAACAAAACGATATTGTTGGTCTTACTGACACTTCGCTGTTTAAAGCTGCTGCTAATAGCTTTATCAATTAGTAGTATTATTAAACCAGGAATTTACAAAATCTCAACTTATATATATATATATATAAGAGTTGCTAACCTCTTTGCTTAACCATATAGGTACATATTCATGTGATCTCATCAGTAAAGCTTTCTGAGTACAACCATTTTGGTTCACAATAACTTATCTTATTCTTAGTCCAAAGGGTTCTCTGTGGCTTTCCTGGTAGTTATATTATTTTATGCTGACTGAGATGACAAACAGAAATTTGATATTAGTTTGTTTATTAGATATATCACACAGTGAGTGTAACAATATTATTTACTAAATGACGTTTTAAACAAAATTTATTGTTCATAATCACATCGTCAATTATAAACACACAACTTCTCTCCTATTTGTCGTCGTAAGGGTAGTACAATTTTCCAGATATCCGTCTGGACAGGTGTTGAATAATTCCTATTACACGTGTTGGTTTGCAGTTGATTCGATAATCAAACCTCCTGTTATCAATCTCTCCCTCCACGTGCTGTTAAATTAGATTTTAAAACTGGCATGCTATTGTATGATTGTGTGTAATCGCATGTAGTAAGTGCTGTAGCTGAACTATTCTCTAGATTTCTCATCTTATTCGGACCAACTAATCTAGAATTTGCTAGGTTTTTATGCTCGGCTAGTCTGACTAACTGACCCCGTTCTACTACTTTGACCTATGTATTTGACCTGACAATCATTGCAGACAGGGTATTAGATAAACTAAATTGTTTTGTTTTAAAGGCTCCACAGGATTGATCCTTTGACCGACAAAGCTTGCTTCTAATTGAATGCCAGACAATTTTATTCCTGCCTCTATTGTCAAGAATTCTGAGTACGGTGGTTTCCGAGGTTCCTTCCTTGTATGGAATTACTACTGATGATTTAGATTCCTTATTGTTGATGTTGTCTTGTGCATATTTGACATGCATGTCGTCATTAATATACATCATACTGTCTCACTCACTGAGTGTGATATATCTAATAAACAAACTCATATGGTATTACTTACTACCACAGTGCCCAAGTATTACACATATATATGTTAAACAGAAGTTTGATATAGAGATTGTGAATTTACAATGTTCTGTTTTCTCTTATCTTACATATATAGCTGTTATGGAATCATCGTATCTATTACAATTGATGAAATCTCTACTCAAAATTGATATCAGTGACGATAATAAATGCGAGAACAACAACGATTATGATCACCGGCACATCATTAGCGGAAGAAATTTCCAACTGGAAAGTATCTGTATTGAATTACTTCAACAGATGGAATTAATTATACCTTTATATGATGGAGATATGAATATTAATCGTAGTGGCAATAATCATCACAATAATAATAATCGACAATATTTAATATCGTCCTTATTGGCTACACGCTGTTTTCAATCAAGTCGACCACATTCGTATTTGCAACCAGCAGTCATTCGATATAAGGTAAATTAAAATAAATTACTTACTCTTCTTCTTCTCCTTCTTTGTCTTCTGCTGATGTGTTTCAAGGTCGTTCATGGAGAGTACTGTTGAAAACCATCAAAGAGTTACTGTACAGCTGTTTCGTCCTAATATGGAACTCTTCAGCACACAGTAACGCACCCAGAACCCAAAGCTTCCAGGTTGTAAGGCAAGGAGTGGAATCCAATGGTCGGTCCATGAATACTTACTTCTGACAATTTGCGATATATAACGCAACCATCACTAACCAGTGTCATCAGTGTGAATGTATGTTCTTACGCCCATCATGGAGAGGTTGTGAAGTTACATAGATTGAGATGGTTAAGACATGTGTCACGAATGCATCCCTAGCCACCGCCTGCCTCGATGACGGGCATTCTTAGCTGACTGTCAAAGGATTGATCAAGCTGGTAAAGAGCTAGTGGTGGTCAAACCATAACATGGCTTCATCACTCAATGAAATCCACAACAGTTAGTTTAAGCCAGTCATGTAGGTAGGTGTAGACTTCCTGACTGGTTGGGGTCCTCGGGACGGTAAAAACCAATGAAGACTGGAAACAGTTTGTGATATGGCCCAAAGTTGTCGTTGTCAATGGCTGCTGCAGACTGATTCACTCTTTGTAACTTATGACGTTCTGTAACTATTCTTTTTACCTCACATCTCTCTTTACTGTCTCTATTTTGCATTTCTTTTTACTTTCTTCTTCTCTTGCTTTGTGTGCTACATGGAGGGAGAGTGGCGAATTGAATTGCTGCACATCTGTGCAAAGTTCTACGTTGAAACCAGTCAGTCAGTCAGTCAGTTGGTGAGACTCCGTTGGTCTCGACTTACTGCTAGGACTGCTATAGAAGACAACTTCATCCTGTAGAGTCAGTGAGCCCTAGATTAATTTTCAAATGTTGTCTGGCAGAGATTTGATTGATATTCTAACTTTTATCCATTATTACGCACCAAAAACTCTATTGAATGAAAACTAAACACATCTAGATTCTTGAAAAAAAAAACACACAATCATAAAGACGAGAGGGATATTTACCTGTATTTATTACCTTATTGTCACAAGTAATATTTTTATAAACAGGAAATAAGGTGTATAAGATTCCGTAGATAAATGGAACTTGTCTAAGTTAGTTGAAAGCTACCCGTACATATCACTGCTATGTCTCGAGGTATCGATTCTGATTGTGTCACCTATTCTGATTGCAGAGAGGACTTGCGTATTCTTGAGTTGTTAAACACTAAACATTTGAAGACTTCAGGAGGTAGTTCTATCACATCTCAACTAGTGCAGACCACTGGCGAATTGGATATTCTAGAAGTTTTATCGATAGAAACATCAAGAAAGAAACCATCCTCAGACAACTACTCACAGTGCCAAAGAAAAAACTCTGGTCATGAGTTTGGCATTAAAGGTGACACTGTTACTGAAGTCATTAAAAGTCGTTTATTTGTTTGGAGGATTTCATCTTAAGAGCTGAAATCGGTTAGATAGGCATTGGAAAACCAGACAGGGAGTACTGGAGAACTGTTTCGTCAGCCTAGTTTGGGATTCTCTAGCAGGGCTCGAACCTTCTGGTTACAAGGCTAGCCAGCTCGTAGACGATCAAGCCACTCATTGGGATCCGATCCAATAGCCAGCCCATGAATTCTAACTTCTGTAAATTCATAACATAGCGCGACCACTTCTCAGTGTCTTCTTCTTCGATGAGTTACTGCCTCACCTTCAATCTGCTGTACTCTATATTGGTCATGGCTTCCCACTAGAACCCCTCCAACCAATCAAACAAAATCCCTACAAAACCAATACATGAAAAGTCACGGATTGATACCAGTTAGAGAACCGTTGAAAACCGGTGAGGGAGTACTGGACAGCTGTTTCATCCTAGTTTGGGAATCATCGGCAGTACGCACTCACACTGTGGGGTTCGAACCCTGGACCTTCTGGTTACAAGGAAAGCTCGCATACCATTCAGCCACTGGGACCCGATTCAATGGCCAGCCCATGAATTCTAACTTCTACCAATTGGTGATTTAGCGCGACCCCAACCATTGTCGTAGGTGGGAGATCCATCCTTACACGTGACATCTGTATCGACCTTACTGTTCACGGCTTCTCACTAGAACTCCAGGAAACTCCATCCTGTAGCAAGTCACTGGCGAGCATCAGAATAATTTTCTATAGTTTGGTTTGTAAGGGCTAGTTATGTTTTTACGAGTTGATCACGGATTGATATCAGTTAGAGAACCTTTGAAAACCAGGGAGTACTGGACAGCTGTTTTACCAGCCTGGTTTGGGAATCATCGCCAGTACTCCCTGAATGGTTTTCAACGGTTCTCTAACTGATATCAATCCGTGATCAACTCGTAAAAACAAAACTAACCATTACAAACAAAACTTGAAAAGTCGTTTATCGAAATGCATTAAACGGTGTTTTAGTGCAGCTGACTTACATTTAATATTTACCCGCCGAAATATGAGTCTTATGTCCACCTCTGTGTGCATACGGTTTCATGTTTCCTGTCAGATTTCTTTTGCTTCTATTCTACTGTCTACTTATATAATTAAAAAGTACTATCTGTTATTTTTTGTCTTCATTTCATTACAGCAAATTCATGTACGTTCACAATCGGTTAGTTTTCCAGCTAACATACGATCAAATGTACATCGACGGTATAAATCCAAATTACTGAACAAGAATGACTATAAAGACTTGAGTAATAATATAGAAGGTAATATAAGTAGTATTGAGCAAATCGACTGTAAATCATTACCACGACAACAATTTATTTGGTCAGTTCAAACGTCAGCTAGCAAAGAAATTGTACGTTTGTATTGCGTCACGTATATACCAATGGGATTTTGGGTACAGTTGAATACACGTTTGTTGAATGATTCAAGTTTACATGAAATTTGTGGGTAATTCTCATCAGTAGTTTAATAATTATTATTGCTTTCTATATATCATTATACTTTTTGTTTTGTTTTTTTACTGCTTGTTGAAGTTTCTGTAGCAAAGTTATTTGTAAACTGCTTTAACACTCTAGAGTGCCGCAATACCCGCCCCCCCCCGTTGCCAGTTAACCTTCTGCAACAACTGTTTGATGATGCTAAGTGTCAGGTGATTCATCCTTTGAAGTAAAGAAAAGGGTTAGACATGACTGCCTACTATATCTATCACTGATGACATTCCTGATTGTGATGGACTAGAAACTGAAGGGGTCAGCAGCAAAGAAAGTATTTCAAGTGAACGTGGACGAAATAGACTTGATGGAGATATCCGGCTGTCAACAACAACGACAACACGCGCCAAACACTATCGAAGGCAGAAATTTGAAGGTGGTCACCTCTTTGACTTATCTAGGCAGGACCAAATTAAACTTTAAGCACCACTAACTAACTACCAAAAAGGTGCAACGGCACCAATGACCTTGAAGTGCTCATTGAGCGAGTTAGTGAAACCTAGCAAATAATGTTATCATGATCAATAAAATATGGTCATCGAAGTGTTATGCTAGGAAGTAGGATATTTGGCAAGTTCCAGCTTAGATTTGGGAAAGATTAAGTTACAGTTTAGGCCAAGGACAAGTTAGGGTGAGGTTAACCTAATAAAGACGACATTAGTTCAGGAAAGATTAGAGTTATTGTTAGGGTTAGAAGACCCAAATAATTACGTGCATAGAATGTGGTTAAATTGCTCTATTGATATAAGAATAGAACTTGTGCACTGTGGTGGTAGAGTATAATTCCACTGTGGGTAAAACGTTTTATGATAAAGTCGTCTCACAGTGTTATACGGTAATATATACTGATGACAATGTTTCGAGCACAATTAATTGCTCCGTAAATATTACTGCATAACACTATGAGACTTTATCAAAATAAATTTTACCTACAATTGAATTATACTCTGTTGATACCCCAGCCAAAAACTGAGAGCTATTTTTATCACATATGAGAGGAAGTTATATCCTCCGCAACACTTTTATACAGTTTTTATGAGCTTTTTTATGAAAATATATGTATTCCATATGTGGTGAGAGCAAGCTGCTAGCCAATTGGTAGACATTGATCTACGCTGATTGGTAGAAATTAATCTAGGCTGATTCAACAACCAATCACAGCTGACCTAAACGTGGACAAATATGCATTATAATAAAGGTTTTTTTGTATTTCCCAATGAATGAAAAACAAAACGATATTGTTTTTACTGACGTTTCGCTATTTAATGCTAATAGCTTTATCAAAGTGGACAAATATGATTCGCAGACAAGTGGCTCGCATTTCCGAAAAATATCGAAAACGAGAAAGCAGAAGACTGCGTTTGTTTGCAAACAACCAATCAGAAGACCGCCTTCTTTCTGCGGGCAAAAGCCTTATTAATGTACGTAAAATACATATAAATACCTGTTGGTTTTCGTAATAAAACTGATCTGTTGCCTGCCTTGTCTTCTGTTGTTACATTCGGTGTCGCTGCCTCCGGAAAAATGAAGATCCCGTGGCCAGCTGCGTTTGAGGAGGGAGACATACGGAGCTTCCTACGTGATTTCGAAGGCGTAGCTGAGCTGGTGGGTGTCAAGGAGCAGGCGGCGAAGGCAGTTGTTCTCGGGACGCTGTTGAGAGGCAGCGAAGGCAGTTGTTCTCGGGACGCTGTTGAGAGGCCGAGCGAAGGCGGCATATGACAGCGTAGACCGGTCAAACGGCACAGTGTCTTGGAAGAGATTGGTTGAAAATTTGGTGTCGGAGTTCGACAGCGCAACAGACAGACAGCTAGCAGCAGTTCCGATCAACGAGGCTGGGACCTGATGGAGACCCGTTAGTATTGGCGGTGAAATTGACGAATTTACTTCGACGGGCGCTTCCCACGTTGGATAAAGAATCAGAAGAGCAGTTACTATCTTCCCAATTCATCGAGAGTGTACCAGACCACATTTCTCAGCAGTTAAAACTGGTTAACGCAACGCAACCGATGGATATTAGTGAGCTAGCGAAGGTGACCAGACAGCTGCTGAGCACGACTTTAGCCGCTATAGAGCAGCCGAAACCAAATGAATATGAGCAGCAAATTGAAGCATTGCAGCGGGAAGTGGCGGCGTTAAAGTTGGGTAATAGAAAAAGCCGATGTTTTGAATGCGGCAAGCCAGGACACTGGAGAAGAGACTGCCCAGAAAGACAGAAAAGGAAAAATTTCAGACGGTATAATGCTTGTTCTTTCTTTCATATGAACCTAGACTTAGTGGGGGCGATTGAGAAAGGGGCTATGTATTCGAAGTTGCGAGTAAATGATCGAGAAGTAGTATGCTTAGTAGATACAGGAGCGGCCATGTCGTTGATAGATAAGAATTTATGTAAGAGCGTTAGTCCGTGTTCGTTGACAGTACAAACAGTAGGCGGGCATGTGTTGCGTATAACGGGTAGGTCGAACTGTACGATTGTTGTTGAAGGGTGCGAGGTGACGTTTCCTTTCATTGTTGTGCCCGAACTACAGCGAACGATATTAGGAGCGGATTTTCTGCGGGAGATTGGTGCAATAATTGACACGCAAGCGAAAGTGGTGGTCACGAAATACGGGCGTATCAAAATGTATGAGACCAGCGAGATAGCAGCGGTGAACCTGTCGACGGTATACAACATGACAGATTTAATTAAGAAATACGACCATCTGTTCACTGGTGATGGCAATCCATACAGTTATTGCGACAAGGTGAATCATGAAATTCCGTTAACTAATCCAAAAGTAATGTCATTTACATCGCGAAGAATACCATGTCATCTGGAAGGCGAAGTGAAGCGACAAGTGCAAGAGATGTTAAAAGACGATATTATTGAAGAAGCTGATAGCCCGTACAACTCTCCAGTGCTGTTAGTAAAGAAAGCGAATGGGAAGTATAGATTCTGTGTTGACTTTCGACAATTAAACAGTATGACAGAGTTAAAACCGTGTGCCATGCCAACAGTGGTGGAAACTTTAGACCGCCTACAAGGCGCGAATGTGTTTTCCGTTTTCGATCTTCGCTCAGGGTACTGGCAGATACCGATAAAACCAGGTGATAGAGATAAGACGGCATTCAGCGTGGGCCAGACACAATATCGATTTAAACGCATGCCGTTTGGACTAGCAGGTGCACCGTTTACCTTCAGAAGACTGATGACGCTATTACTTAGGAACTTGAAAAACGTGGAAGTGTATGGTGATGATCTCGTGATATACAGTCAAAACGAAAACGATCATGTGAAGCATGTAGAAGCCGTGCTGCGACGCATCGAAGAGTTTGGACTGCGCATTAACAAAACCAAGTCCCAGATAGCCAGAAAGAATGTTACTCTGTTAGGACATAAAGTAGGAAATGGTGAGATTAAACCACTACCGGAGAAAATTTTGACGATTAAAACAATTCCAGCCCCGAATTCAAAGAGGAAATTGAGGCAATTCTTGGGTAGAGCGGCGTTTTATAGTCGCTTCGGGAAGAACTTCAATGAGATAGCAGCCCCTCTATACAGGCTACTAGGTGAGCCGAAGTTTGTTTGGTCGGAAGAATCGCAGAGGACATTTGACAGAATTAAACACCTGTTCGACCACCAACAAATGACGCTAAAACTACCTGTACCTGGAAGACAGTTTACAGTGTGCACAGATGCCAGTGACTACGCCATAGGTGCGGTCCTAAGACAAGGTGATGGAATCGTTGAGTATGCCAGTCGGGTTTTAACACTCGCAGAGAGAAAGTATTCAACGATAGAGAAAGAATGTTTAGCAATGGTATGGGCAGTCGACAAATGGCGACCTTATTTACTCGGCCGGCGGTTCCACATCGAAACCGATCATAAGCCGCTACAATTTTTGAAGACAGCGAGAGACCCACGGGGGAAATTGTCACGGTGGATGTTGCGTCTTCGGGAGTACGATTTTACGATCTCACACGTTCCTGGAAGTGAAAATGTCTTGGCAGATTTGTTATCGAGACCAGAAGACGAGCCTGAGTTGCCCGAGGTCGCTTACGGAGTGCATGCTGTAGAACAAGACCCACTAAAACTTGCACGCAAGCAAAGGTTGGATGATACGCTGAATACAGTGATACAGGTGATAACCAACGGGATAGAAGTAGATCAAGCTACAGCGAGTAAGGAGCTAACCACACTACTCAGACAGAGAGATCGACTAAGAGTGAATGCCTACGGGACTCTGACCTGGCGAGAGAACGACGGAAGCTGGCTGGCTATCATACCTCAGTCCTCGCGCCACGACATGATAGAAGAATGTCACCAGCTAGCACATACAGGCGTGGCCAGAACAACTGACCTCCTAAGACAAAGCATGTACTGGCCAGGTATGAGAGAAGACGTAGCAAGATACGTACTTGGATGTCCACGGTGCCAGCTAATGAAAGGCGACCGGTGCATACGACCACCGCTTCAGTCGATTCCAGTTACAGCGATAGGTGACTTGTGGTCCGTAGATGTCATGGGTCTATTTCCTCAGACATCTAATGGTAATCAGTACCTCCTGGTGATGACGGAACACGCGACACGATGGGTAGACGCCGTAGCGATCCCAGATCAACGTGCAAAGACCGTGACAGACGCAGTAGTTAAACACATCGTTGCAGACCACGGCGTACCAAAGACGATACTGACAGACCAAGGTCCCTGTTTCGAGAGTGAAGAATTTACTTCCCGTTTGCAACAGCTGGGCATCAAGAGGATCAGAACGACCCCATATCATCCACAGACGAATGGCCTAACGGAGAGAAACAACCGTACACTGAAGGAGTGGCTGGCCTCGAAGGGCGGTAACTGGGAGACGGAGCTTCCACTGATTTTACTGACGCATCGGGCTACCACTCAGGAAACAACGAAGAAGTCACCCTTTCAACTGATGTATGGTAGAAAACCACAATTACCGATACACAACGAGACCT